TGTGTTTTTGTTCCCTCAGAATGAGACATTTTTATCACCAGACACAACAGGTCGCCATGTTTCTACAGTAGTTTACAATTTTCACAGCCTGTTCTCATTCCCAGGTCGTTAAATACAGACGCGAGCAGTGTTCAGTTGCAATCTGAAACTTCACTGCTCGATGCCACTAAATCCTACACACTGGTCCTTTAAGGATTTCAGTAGGAAACAATGAGCTTAGAGCTGAGAGCCACAGACAGGATGTCACATTGTTGGTGTTTTAAAGGTCCACTGTGTCGGATTTAGTGGCATCTAGTGGTGAAAGCTGCAGATTGCAACTCTTTCGCTTCACCATCCTCTTCCAAGTGTGAAGGAGAAACTACGGTTAACACTAGACCCAGTGTGTAAGGTAACAAAAACACAGGGATTCAATAAATCCTCCTAAATGTCACAAACTTTTAATGGGATTTGTTTCCAAAAAGAAACATAAAATAAACCATATTTATCCTTTAAAATGACGATCCGTACCTCCAGGTATGGGATGGGCGTGATGGGAGGGAGAGGATACTCCTTCAGCAGCCGCTCCTCGTCCAGAAACTTTCCGGCTCGGCCGTTGAACGCCGGCTGGAAGAGACCATAGTTCAAAACATCCGACAGAGACTGAGTCAACGTCACCAGAACCCTCTGCTTACTGGTCCAAACTGGTAACTCTGGGTCCAACCGCAAACACTTCTGAGAGAGCCAGAGACAGAGAAACAGACAGACAGAGAAAGAGACAGACACAGACAGACAGACACACAGGTTTGTCCTGCTGATTCATTCATTGTTTGATCCTCTCCTCATATATACTTCTATACAGTATATATATAAAACCATATCTATATATATACTGTATATATATGTGTGTGTGTGTTACCGTCTGCTGCAGGTCCGGGATGCCAATGCGGACGACAATGCTGTTTCCAGGGGGCGTGTCATCCGCGTCGTCGTCCCTGGCAACAGCAGAGCCTGTCGGGTTGCCGTTAGTAACCGCCTGTTGCCGCGGGCGATCATGTTTGGTGTCAGCAGCCGGACTCAGAGGCATGTGGCTAAAAGACAGAGAGAGAGAGAGCTGTGATTACTGTTTGCAACAGCACAAATACTAATTAATAACTTTATTTAATCACACAAACGTTCATCAATGTGTGGAAATATATTTTTAAAGTTAAAGCTGCTTTAATTCCCCCGAACTCTGCTGCTTGTTAGCAGCTGAGCTAACGTTCACTAGCGAGCTAAACGCACTGATTTCTCCACGTGTTAAAGCGATGTGTCTGCGTAGTAATACACAATATAAGCTGCAGTCGTTAGCACGCCCGGCTAATACAATCTAGAGGGTCGGGACCAAGGGGTCGCCAAAGCATCACTGGGGGGTCGCAAGGCCTTCTTGATTTTAAGGCGTGCTAGAAAACTTTAAAAATATACACAATAGGCCGATATCTCAAAGTAAATATAAGTATATTGTCCAATAGAACAAGCGTCAGGGAGAAGAAAACACAGAATTTGTATTAAGTTTGTATGATTGTTAAAAATTGTTAAAAAATACATAATACAGACAGAGAATTGTATAAAAAGTTCCCTAAACAGGAAATAATCTGCTCAAAACAGCCGGAGCTTAAATAACAGTTAAAATCAGGTATAATTTATTTTATTTAAAAGAAAATGAATCTTCTTAAGCCATTAAAGACGATGTAGAAAGTGTTCGTTGCACGTACAATTAACAACTGTCTTCACTGAATGTACAAAGTTAGCTTTTTATGTATAAAAATACTCTAATATAAATATAAAGAATCTCTGTCTTTTGATGTATTCCCTGTAATTCATAGAACATAATATTGTGTGAAAGATTAGTGAATATGATTGAGTTTAAGGCAAAATACACACCCAGGTTTATGTAATCTGAGCGGCTGAAATACAGTAAAAATCTTCCAGGACAACATATTTAATTTTCAGGATATTTGGTAATTAATCAGTTTCCAGGTGTTTCCTTAACTTGGAAACTAGTCTCTAAATTTCCAGGTTTTCCAGGATGTTTGTGAACCCTGGAAAACAATCCCATTGGCTTTTTGTTGAAGAAACCAGGGCGCTGTATAGAAACTGTACAGTCCCTACAGTTCCTCTAACGGCTACTAGAGGCTGGCTCCAGTAGTCTCCATAAGGCCTCATATTAAAACTTTACAGCAGAAATAAACCTGTCTGCAGCCTTTTGGTCTCTATAGTTAATCTCCCAGTTCATGGTGACTGTACAGGAGGTGAATTGTTATATAACTCACCTGTTTAAATTATATTAAAGCTTAAAGTTGTGTGTAAATAAGAGGACGCTGCTGTTTTCAGCAACCAAACCATCTTAAAATTACATTTTCTATCACATCAGTTGACACTTTATGCTAAAACAGTTAAATATCTTCTACAAACTTCACTTTTTATATTGAATTAAGAGGCATCCTTTAATGTTTGGTAACATTAACAGGTGGGTATGATCTGTACTTTGTGTCAGAGAGACTTCCGTGGGGACGGAGATATTAGCATGAATCTGACAGCCTCCCACAGACATTTCTCACAGCAGACATTTTGCATTTTCAGAGGTGTAAACGGTGATAATGGCTGCTTTTCATTTAGGAAAATAACACAGTAAATGTTAATATAATTAACTACACGTGTGAACGTCAGGAACGATCACTGAGGGACTCTACCGGGACTCATCGTCCACACGCTGCTGTGCTTTCGTCTGATTGTGGGGCGACATCTTATTCAGATTGTCTGCTGACTCTGATCTGACCTCCACCTTCTCTAACGCTAATAATGGACTCAGGATGTTACATCACATCCTGTTTTTCACCCTGAGCGAAAATCTGCTCGCACACACAGAGAGACACATAACACAGAGACGAGTCCGATTGTTCTGGAGAACAGTGGAGCCACCATTTGTACTGCAAGTTGAGGGACTGTATGAACATTATTAGAGTGCTAAGGAGGGTCATATATTGACATTTATATATGTATTTATATATATTTTACCATGATATTTAATTTTATTGCCATGTTACCTTCTAATATCGATCGATTCAGGTGCAAAGTATTTGAATTCTACATATTGTGCTATGAATGAGGCCAGTAATCGCCCTCTACTGCTAGAAACTGGCTATTGCAGTTAGTTAGAGCAGTGGTTCCCAACCTTTATCTATCAGAGTAAACTGATTATAATCAATAAATACAGAACAGCTGATGGACTGTACAATGAATCCAAA